GCATTTCTATGCTTTTAGAAAAAATGAAACATAATGTGAATTGCACAATATTTTTGATTATGATTCTTATTTATTTTTAGCTTATCAAATAAACAGTACCTCTTCAAGATGGTTCTGCAAGGGTTCTTTTGTAAAGAAAATGGTTCTATATAGGACCACGAACACTTAAAGAGCCATTTGCATGCTGAAAGGGGTCTTTGCATCATGAAGTGGTTCTTCACATTGGTGGAGAACGTGTTATATATGTGGTGCTGTGTACCAACAATAGCAAGAACCCTTTTTATGCTACATAGAGCAATTTTCAAAAAGGTTCTATACAGAACCATCTATAGCACATTCTTAATCAATCTGAGGAACCATTTCATGGTGCAAGGAATCCTTTCAGCATGCAAAGGGTTCTTTGTTCATGGTTCTGTACAGAACCATTTTCCTGTACTAAAGAACCCTTGAAGAACCATCTTTTTTTAAGAGTACAATTGTGCATTGAAACTGTCTTAAGGCGTCAGATCTAATTGAATGGACATTTACACCCCCAGCACTTTCAGTATGCTTGTAGATACTGAGAAACCAGAATGGAAATGCTGACTCTTCTAATCTAAATCAGGTTTACTCTGGAGGAAAATAGGACGTTCCTGTCATGAGATCGTGATGAAAGGTCTGTGGAATGCATCCTTTTCAGATTCCAATGCAAAGGCAAGGTTAGATAAGGAAAACATGCAGATCAGTGCGCTCTCGTAAGCCCTGCTGCTGCACTGTTGTCGTCAGCCTTTTGAGAAGAGAGGTTGCTCATGACATGCTGAGTTTGAGTCATCGGTTTCCGTTTCAGCCCAGTTTTCTCTTTCTAAATAGGAATCACAAGGCTGTCTTTACACTCTTACAGCGGTTCTCACTGTCAGTCCACAGCATCTCCTGCACTGCACACTTCAGCGGAAGCTCCTGAAGGCTTTGTTGCTACTTGTTGTGACCCACAGCAGGATGGGTTCCTAGTTTGAGTCTTGGGTTCAAAGTTCTTTTCTTCATGCCCTGTTTGAGGGCTTTTCTGATTTTACTATTACCCTCCGCTGCTCATCAGGGATCTTGCGAACTGAAAATTTGGAGGCCCTTAGCTAGTGCTGTCAAGTTGCTTCAGTCCCATGGCGACTGTATGGATTGTGTTTCTCCAAACAATCCTGTCTTTTGTTTGAGTCTTTAGGCTTCTTAGTGGTTTGTTCAGCGTATCTCTGATTGTCTCCGTTCCTCTTGATGGTTGCCCTCGTGAACTGTTTCTTCTCTGATTTCCAAAATAAGAGCTTTGGTTTAGTCATCTGGGCTTCAAGTGGGAGGTGAGGCCTGATTTGGTCAAGATCCATTTGTTTGTTTTCTGTGCCGTCCAAGGTACTGGTGAAAATCATCTTCAGCACCAAAGTTTAAAGGCATTAATATTTGTCCCTATATTTTCACTATTTTTTTTTGTGTTGTCCAGCTTTCACATCCCTAAAGAAGCACAGAAAAGTCAATAAATAAATAAATAAATAAAATGAATGAATAAACGCTGAGGTAGGGCCAATAAACCTAAATTCTGGGCCGATGCAGATATTTGTTTTACCCCGTCTGCCGATGCTGCTACATAAACATTTACAGACATCAAAAACTGAGAGAAAGAAAAGTTCATAATGGTAAAACATCAAATATCATATTTGTCTACTGTTTTAAATTTAATACGGGTCAGACAGAATTTACTTGTGATTGTTTTGTTTTTATTTTACTTATTTATTTACTTTTACAATTTTGCATAGTGTCTTAACTTTTTTTTTTTTAAATTAGGGTTTCAAATGGAAAGAATAAGCTTACATTTTGTCAGTACATTCGTATTCTATATTTGCATGTTTTAACCTCATTGTTAAAATGTGGAAGTGTAAAAAATCTTGGCTTGGACACCTGACATCATGCTCACTCACAGCAGTGAGCGTCATTCTAACAGCATGTATTCCCAGCGCACCTGCAGATGGTGCCCCGCCTTACCAGACTTTCACTAGGGCTGCGATGTTGCCCTTCAGGTGCCTCAAGAGGGGCTTGTGGGCTGGTAGACAGAGCGAAGCCACTCTGTGAGGAATGCAGCTAGCCTGGAGATTCGGGTTTTACAGCGGATGAATCCGTGGATGTGCTTTCAACAAGTGCGTCAGACGTGGATTTCCTGAATGAGTCCCCCCGCCCCGCCAGGGGGATTGAATGTTCACTGATTATTATTGCTGAAGCTCCAGGTATTTGGGACAGCATTAACAGCTACATACTCTGGTCCAAAAATATACACTCAGTCCACACAACTCCCAACTCTCTGCACCAAGAATAGGCTGCTAATATACAGTGTATGAGATCCCTGAACTAGGAGTGAGAATCACTGAAGATAAATAAACTTTCTTAAACTTTAAACTAATTGCGCAACTGACTTCATGCGTCAGAAAAGAAGAACTCCAGAGTGTTACTAAGGCCATCCTAGTGTTATTTTCTAGGTAGTAACTCCTACCATAAATATTAAGGTGTAAAAGAGGAAATGATATAAGGAACCGATGAATATTTAAGGACTGGTAAGAATCTCATGACTTGCTGCTGTACATCCACAAAACACAGCTGTAGCCTGCGTGATGATTCTGTGCTCCTAGGTACCTGTAGAAGAATTGTCTGTGATCATTAGTTCTTGATTTCTTGTGGTTTATTGTTCATATTATTAGTGTCTATATATTCACTGTCCAGAATGTAAACTATGCATCCAAGTGTTTGTAGATACCTCCTCGTCCAGCGATTCTTCTGAAATCAAGGGTGTTTAAAGGGAGTTTCTAACCAGTAACTAACCAGTCTTTGCTGCAGTAACAACCTCTACTCTTCTGAGAAGGCTTTACACTAGATGAGGGGACATTGCTGTGAGGATTTGATTTAATTCAGTCACAACAGCATTAGAAAGGTTAGGTGCTGATGTTGGATGGTCAGTTCTGGATCACTCCAACTCATCCCAAATGTATTGGATGGAGCTTCATCACTCCAGAGAATACAGTTCCACTGCTCCACAGCACAATGCTTGGCAGACTATAAAGAGGCCAGATAGGATCTTTTGGGAAAAACCATGAGTTTTTAGGACTTATTAGGGCGAGAACGCACTGAGTGTGAAATTTCTAAACCAGCCCAACACATTGTGAAGGTGTGGGCCTGTAGTGTGATAGAGACGTTGGTGTGCTCATCAACATTGACAGACAACAGGCCTGTCGTTACACATGGATGTAAGTTAGCATGGCTGAAAAGTCCAAATACTCCAAATAAGCATATGGATGTGTGTTGCATGTGTGGAGAACGCATTACATGCGATAAAAATCAACATTACCTCTTGAGAAAAACAGTTCTGTTGGGTAATGATAGTGTTTCACAAGCTGGCTTATTTTGCTTGTGTTACCAGTTGTACTCCAGACATTAAAAGAGCACAGACTAGAGATGTTTGGGCCAGGTTTTAGAGGGGGTGTCTCCTTGTTTGAGGCAGGTTTTGCTTAAGCGCAGCACCAAATGTTTTACAGGTTGTCCCCAAACATGTATTCTCAGTACAAGATCACATCTGGCCCTGAAAAAGAGACCTCAGGGCTCATGTGTCGTTGGTTCAGCACATCCCGTTCTGTTGGTCACTGGTTTTCTATTGAGATTGTAAAAAAAAAAAAAAGACCTTAAAAGGGAATTCCACCAGTTAGTCAAATTTGTTTGCGTAATTCAGTCATTTGGATGTAAAAGTCATTCAGAGTGGTTTGATGTGGAGTAGCTTATTGTGCAGAAACACTGATTCTTTACAGCAGTGATAGGAACCTGGGGTTACCGTGCCTGCAGTGGCTATATTTGCATTTTATTTTCTATCCAAAACTGCCAGTGCAAACCTGCACATTCTGAGTTTTTATATATAATGCCGATGGTGGTAAATTAGAGGTAAATCTGAAAAATTCAGGGTCTATTTTGCCTTACAACACCCTGCATGTACCTCTCCACCATGAATAAATTGGGAAAAAAAAATGTTTTAGGCCAAAATCTTATCTAAAAAACAAAAACTCTGTATCAGGTGTCAAGCAGCGTGTTTATTGCCATTTCATGTAATAACTTTCTGCTTTCATTGCATGCTTTTTGAGCTTTTAGAGGCAATAAACTCTTCAGACTTTTGGTTCCTATCACTTCCACTGTGAGCAATTAAGTTTCTCTAGAACAGAGCATTTCACATCAAACCACTCTGAATGACTTTGTTGGCATCTTAACCAATTAGTTATGCAGAAATATTAAATTTTGAGTTCACTAATTGAAGGGAGTATGAATATTTTTGGACATGCAGTATATATTCTTTAACCTTGCACTTTGTATATTACTCTAATATACTTGAATATACATTTCAGTCTTATGTTGTATAACTTGTGGTTATTCAAATCTGCAGTTATCAAAATTTAAATCAGTATTTATTTACATAATCGGGTATTTGAAGGAGTTGAAATTGCACGTCAAGTTAAGCGCCATCTAAGCAGAGCTATCGCTGTTGTCGGAAGAAAACCTTGTATCTCCAAAATGGTAACTTTACAGGAGAAGGAAAAAAAACACACTTTACTTTTAATGTAAGTCAATGGAACCAGACTTTTTTCCAAGTCATAATATATATATATATATATTATTTATATATATAATATATATATATATATATATATATATATTATATATATAAAGAAAGATGACACATTTGTGCAGTGTCGTTGTGTGATCTATTTTTCTGTAGGCCAGCTTTTAGTATATTAAATCACAAAAGTCAACCGAATGAGGACGTGCATTGCTTTTTGGTACCTGAACACAATAAGCGAATGTTGTTGTTTTTTTTTTGTTTGTTTGTTTTTTTTTGGTTTTTTTTTAGTTTTTTTTTTCTTATTCAAATACTATTTGTTTAAAAATACTGATTTTCACATAGAAAAAATGGTTAAAATTCTTCTTCCTAATATTGTTCTTCATTATCTCTTCAGGCCCAGGCGCAGCATTGTATCTGGTATGGAGAGTGTGGCAACTCAACGGTACTGCCGGAAAAGAAGTACAACTGTAACTACACAGGACCTCCCAAACCCTTACCTAAGGATGGACAGGACCTCTTACTGGTAAGTTTATCAAATGTATTTTACGGTATAGGAGAAATAAGGAAGTGCTTATTTATAACCCTTGCACTTGAGTCTCCTCCTTAATACCTCCTGATTTTCAGACGGAAGTGACTGAGGTAGAATCCCAGTGTGTTCTTATTCACTCCTGTTAATCATTAATTAGACTGTATCATTACTTACTCTCACCACACCTACACAGACACAATACAAGGTGGGTTTCCTGTGTTGGAGATGTTCTAGACTGACGCACACTAATTATTGAGAAATGACTGTTCAGTCAGTGCCAACGAGGGCATGCCAGTACAGTCTTATAAAAGGGAGTGAAATGGAAGGTCAGCCAGTTTTCAAACACTTGTGTTTATTATTTAATATAGCTTAATAAAGTTAGAGCTGGGTGATATGGCCATAAATGTTATCCCGATAAACAAAATTCATATCGTTCAATATCGATACATATCACGATAAATGTCAAATCATTATTTCTTTCAAGTTTGAAGGCTGATTTTTGCTCCCAAGTGGTTAATTGTGGTTTTAAACTATCCTTTATGGTCAGAACTTGACAAACACTCAAACAGTGGAACATTTCACAAATCTGTCATGGGAGAGTGGGAGAAAGTGTCTGGCGAGCTGTTTTTATCAGCTGGAAAAGCACGGTCACAGTTTTATAATAGTCATAATTTAAGAAAGAAGACGTTATTTTTAGCTGTCTTGTGACGAGCGCTCGGCTATCCCATTACAAATGCTAAACAAGTGGCCAACAACAGAGCTAAACTGTTTAGTTTCTCAACAACATCAACTTAGTACGAACAGCAAACATTAGCTGGTTCGGCACGTCAGTGATGGATCACACCGCCTTTCTGCCGTCACTCCCATCACATCAGAGCATATCACAGTATTCAGACACCAGCTAGCAGACGACTGGGTTTCTCTATAGTAGTTTGAGGGGTGAACCACAATATATCAACACCAGACAAACAGAGTCCTCTTTTTAGGTACGTTTAAACTGAAAGCGGTGCTTTTGTGTCTTGTTTGATCTACAGTATCATCAATTCGTTGTGTTCTGCGACTGACGGAGCGCTGCTTCAAGTTAGCCAGCTGCTAAAAACAGCTAGCCTGGAAAGCTAGCGCTCTCCCGCTCTCCAATGCCTCACAGCTTCCTCAGTTTACTTTTGTTTAAATCAGTGCTGTATCTTGCATGATCCCACTTCTTTCTTTTACTTTTGTTGCTTGTGAATGCACTAATACTTAAATATGACTGTCCGAGCGCTGTAACAGTGCTGTAGTTGTGAGGAGCAGACATGATTTAACGCTGCTAAAGCTGGTTAGGAAGTACAGAAAGGTGAGTTCGCTGTAGGTCAGTACAGTTACACCACTTATCTCGTCACTCACACTTGGTCACAAGAGAACAGATCGCCGGTCGCTCCACTCAAACAGGGAATGTATAACTCCGCGTTTCAGCCGTTGCTAAAGTATATTTGGTGACCCGTTTTACTCGTCGCCCCCTCCCTCCCTAATCATGTGAAAAAACTCTGAAGTGCGCCCTCTCCTGGTGACGGCAGAGTAGTGTCTCTTTCCTTGCAGTAGAAAACGCCACCAGGGCTTTCGCTAGAACGTGGAGGTGTGAGAATGGTGTATTATATCGATATTTTATTGAACATTTCTTATTGTTCTGTCGAGGACAGTTATATCGCCTATAATTATCGTTATCATTTTATCGCCCAGCCCTACCTTGAGTGCATGTATCCACTTCAGTCCATTAACACAGAGTATGTCTTTTGACTTTGTACTTATACATCTGAACAAAAAGGTGTATATCCATTAGCATAAACATTCAAAAAATACTAAAAAGTATTCACATACCACAGATTCATAACTTTAGTACTTTGTTGTAAAGCTGCTGTTGGCATTTACAGCTTCCAGATGACTACATTAAGAAGTAATTTGCTTTTTGAAGCATTGTGGTTCAGTTTTGGCCCATTTCTTTTGGCAAACCTTTTTGATTTCCCCAAACTTATGAGGGTCCATTTGATGGACTCGCGATTTCAAAATCCTCCATAAATTTTCAGTGGGATCCAAGTCAGGAGATTGGCTAGACCGTGCAAGCAACTTCTGCTTTTGGGGGTCGTTGTCTTGTTGAAACGTCCATCTTCTACCCAGATTTAGTGTCTTGGCAGAAGAGATTATTCTAATTCTCTAATAATTCTCTCAAATGTCTCCTGGTACATTTCCATTAATGATGTGTAACGCCCCACTGCTTTTTATAGAGAAGCAGTTTCTCATTATGATGCTCCCACCTTCGCACTTCACTGTGGGTGTTCTTTTGATCATACACACATCCCGTCTTTCTGCAAACACGATGAGCTGAATTACTGCATAAGAATTCTTTCGTTTGCCCAGATTTCTGGTTTGTCCAAACACTCATGCAAATATTAGACATGCATCGCTGTGCTTTTTAGCCGAGGAGTTTTGTGTGAAGGGGAACGGAGATGAATGTGGTGCCGTTTGTTGCTTATTGTTCTCTTTGTTACTGTTGTTCCTGCTGCTTTCAGGTCCTCCTCCGACACTTTTCTCACACCTTCCTCGTCAGTAGTTTGAGAGCATGTTGTGAACTCTTGTGTGGCGCACCTGTCCGAGAAGGATAGTTGTGATTCTGTGCACTTTAAACTTGCATATTATTGAAACACTTGTACCAACAGGGATGTTTAAGGTCTTTGCTAAGGCTGTTCAGCTGTTTTCATGAGAACTTTTCACCATAATTGCTACTAGTTGCATGAAAGAAATAGCAACATCTCTTATAATGACACAAGGTGCAGTTTAAGAGTATAAATACTTTCAAAATGGTGTCTGAATACTTTACTCTGAACTTCTTTATTTGGTTTATTCTTTACATACTTTTTTGTTCATATTTATAAGTACACAATCAAAAGACATTAATATGCGTAAATTTAAAGTGTATATATGCACACTGGAAGTATATTAACACAAACAAAAGTGCATGCTTTTTCCTCACTCTACATATATATTTTGTATCAAGACATACTCAGCGCATGACCCAAGTGTATTCATACAAAGCTTGCATGGTAATGTCACAAAGGAGTAAAGACAAGGATCCTTTGAAATAACTAGTTAAACTGTAAATGAAAATATTCCACACATGTTAAATTTTAGCTCCCTATGAATCCAGATTTCCCATGTACTCCTTTTGATATTACTCAAAGCTTTGAAAATGCTTTCTATGAAATCGTATCTTTTCAAAAAGTCTCATTCAGCCTTTTTTCGACTGACCTTGATGGACTCCTATGCTTGTGTGCAGGAACTCTGCCCGGGTTTGGCTTATGGAAACCAGAGCGTGTGCTGTGACACCCAGCAGCTGAATACACTTAAAGGCAACATCCAGCTTCCTCTTCAGTACCTGTCCAGGTACAGCCATTTCTATGTCTAGACTTTGCATTAGAGATGACACCGATCTGAAACCAGGTATCTTTATCAGACTTATAACAGCAGAAAATGCAGGATGGGATGTCGGAAGTGAAAAAGAATGAATGTAATCCAATCATGTAACGAATCTGTCCTGAAACAGCAGTCACTTGCATTGGCCCTTATTCATCGGTTGTGTAAAAGTGAGCACAGATCAAACTGCCTCTAATGATGTACAAACTACTCTGCGTCTAATTTAAGAAACTTTCATATAGCGTGAAAACAAGTAGAGATTTGAGCTCAAATGATGAATCAGCTTCAGTGAGTGAAATCAAGTGTCAGCGTAAAAGCATCTTGCTTACATATCATTTACACAAAGCACACCTTAGTTCATGCAGATATTTTTGTAGGGTGCTAGTACAGTGACAGCATTCAGCAGCTTGTGAATCAGTGGCTATGACCGGCTTTATCCTGTAAAAAAAAATTGCAACTAACATGCTGTTAAGAAGGTACAGTGATGTGCGTATGTAATGTGACTGTTTTCCTAAAATAACACGTTTAAACACTGGACCATTGTGACTTTTGCACTAGATGTGTGTATATTTTATTTTGGTCAGTACTGTAAAACAAAAGCACAGGGTAAATATATCTTTAAAAGGAACATCACAGCAATATTTGAAGCATTTATTTTTACGAATGTGCGTATAAAATAAAATATAAAATTTACTTTTGTACTGGACTGTCGTGTTATTCTTATTATCTATTTTTATTCTTATTATTGGTATTATAGATTATATTGATAGTAGTTTTGGTTGGTTAATCACAAATTAACCATTTCTTCACATTGATGAACAGTTACGCTCAAATTTTCAGACACTTTTACCAGACATGAATTTCGTCGTACAGGTACGCCAAATGTGAAATTGATAAACAGCAAAACTCTTAGCTTATTTTATGCTCAGTTTTGACCATACACATCTTGAATAAGGGCCACTGTGTGGTGTGATGGTAGCTGTGTAGTTCTTCATGTCGGGTAGTAAAGTGATAGAATAGTTTCAGCATCATAAACTACTTTTGGAAACTCATTGTAAATGAAGTACTTCAGTTGAAAATAGGTAATTTTGAAGGTTAGTAGTCTTAAAGGAAACATATTGGAAGAGTGCCGGTATTGCCCAGTTTGTATCAGGGAAAAAAAAAGTGGTTTTGTGACTCCTCTACTTTGCGTGCTTTGTTGTTTTTTATTTAGGTGTTGGAATGCTTGACTGTATTGCCCTCGTCAGACCATAAACATAGACACTCTTTTACTCAAGTCATGTGTTTATGATTGAGTTGTCAGTTTGTTTCCACAAACCAAGTAGAGCTGAACAGACTTGCATAACAACCCTCTGATGTCTTTAGTAAAAATGATGCAGCCCTGTGCTGTGCTAAGGGCAAATCAATAAAGCCTTTCATTGTTTATCCAATACAGGTGTCCAGCATGTTTCTTCAACTTCATGACCCTGTTCTGCGAGCTGACCTGCAGTCCTCACCAGAGCCAGTTCCTTAATGTCACCAGCTTCTCCACTGACCCCGTGGACAACAGAACCAATGTGGTGGAGCTTTCTTACTACATCAGCGACATGTTTGCTAATGGTGAGTAACTAGCAGATGGATTTGAAAGAGCTTGAAAAAGAACTGTGGATCAGTTGAGTTCAGCCTTGATGCTTGATACTTTGCGCCCAGCCTGCGTAATGTACAGTTGAATTTGTAATTTATGACAAATTCTAAACACTCAAGCACCAGATCTAATGTTGCCATTCTGTGATGCTGCATAACTTTTAAAATTGAGCCAAACACAATTTCAGGAATTTACAAAACACCTCATGCACATGTGATCTTTATACATGATTAAAAAATGGTTGCTGACAGGATCATAGTCCAAGAGCACCAAGTCTACAATACATACAATACACACACAGACTACAAAAATAGTGAACTGAAGACATTTGGCCGAGAATTGCTGTTCATTGCTGTCCATTGCAATCCAAATGGTTGGTCTTTTATCATTCACTGTGAAAAGCTTATGTACACCATACTTTGCTGGGTCACTCCATGGGTCATGGGTCCTTCCATGCCAGCTCACGAAGGGCCTGTCTGGTCACCTGAATTTCCATGAAAAATTCGATTTCAACTTAATTTACACAGCCCTGTGAAATTTCAAAGGTATGCTTCCAGTAGTTCTCTAGTTATTATTATTGTTATTATTATGATTATTGTAAGTTTGATTTATTGGCTTCTAAATTGCATCTTAAATATTGCATTTAACTGCGTACAGAATGACTGAACCTGGCAGAAATATACTAACAATAAATAATAAATAAATACAGTACAGAAAATAGTATTTCACTGGTTTCATGTTAAGAAATGACCACCACAGGTTAATTTATTGAGGAATGTGCTTTTAATGTCAGATTGTGCAATACCTAATCTTTTGAAATGTAATTTTTTTTGTCAGTTTTTAGAATTGTTTAGGTTCTGCGTGCTGTTCCTAACGTGTAGTATATATGTCATTATATGCAGAAGTTAATGTTTGAAGCTGCACCAGTTCAAAATGGCTTTACAAAAAAAGCAGTGAACTTTCAATGAAAGGACATTTATGTCTTGTTGTAATTTACTGAATGTTATTTTTGTTATAAACAAATCGGACGAATTAAATAAAAGGAATTTTGTTTGGTTTTCAGTGGTTCTGTTATATTTGTTAGTGTTTAAATGGTTGTTTGTTGACTTATTTATGACCTTGTTTTATATTTCTTCCTCAGCTATGTACAATGCATGCAAGGACGTGCAGGCTCCCTCCAGCAACGTTAAGGCCCTCAGTCTGCTGTGTGGGAAAGATGCCAGCCAGTGCAACTCCACCAACTGGATCCAGTACCTGTTTAACATTAACAACGGCCAGGTCCCCTTTGCCATCGATCCTGTATTTAAAGGTACATGTTTTGCGTGCACGTATTTTCTTGTAACTGGTCATTGCCATCAAAGCACTGTGTTAACCTTTGGAATCTGGTGGCATGATAACAGTGTAAGATCATGAACAAAAGCTGAGCGTGGGAGGAAGCGCTGGTGGGAAAAATGAAAACTGATTTTGAAATCTGCTGCATTGCCAACTTGGGCACAGATTCAGGAACTAGGAATTAAGCGCATTGTGAGGAGCATGCACAAACATAATCTGTGGCTTGGGCTAAATCGCAGTCCAAGTGGTGGCTTTAAATCACATTTTAATTTTAGGAATACTACTGACTTTGTCCCCAGTGGAGAAAACACTTACATCTCTCTTAAAATCGTTTTTTTATCTGAAAACAGTAGTTTGGTGAAAATCAAATTTACATGATTTCCAAATTTTGCCCTTAGCCAAATGTTGCTGATCAGCCAGAACACGTTTGCTGTCTTAAGTAGAACTGAACAACGAATCGTTTTAACTTAAAATCGCAGTTTTGAAAATGCAGAATTATTTAGCGCTATCTTGTGTAAAGACATGACATGATCCAAAAAACTCTTTCGAAATCTGAGCTGGGGCCTCTGACTTTATTTCACGCTTTACCAGGCGACTCGCAGCAGTGCATGTTTTAGTCTAGTTTTTCCTCCTGGCTCAGTAACGCTGTTTCTTTCAGTTTTAACAAAAAAAGTTTTACATGGTGTGTAATTTAATATTAAAATAAAATACTATTATTAATAATAGAGAATACAAATAATACTTAGTAGAAAAATCACAAGTAGATATTTTCTCTAAATTGTTCAGCCCTAGTTTTGCTTCTTTAACTATACGCCGTAATCATCAGTCACTTGCCTTGAACCGCATTGAATTGTGAAGTAACTTCTAATAGACTTGCTTATGTCATTTCTGATGTGCTTTTCCAGATCATCCAGCCTCTGGAATGACCCCCATGAATAACCAGACATTTGGCTGTACAGAGCCTCTGGATGACGGCTCAGGGCCTTGCTCATGTCAGGACTGCAGTAAAGACTGTGGCCCGAAACCTGTACCTCCCCCTATCCCCCCTCCCTGGACCATTTTAGGCCTGGACGCCATGAACGTTATCATGTGGATCTCCTACATGGCCTTCCTCTTCGTGTTCATTACCGCCCTGCTTGGAGCATGGTGTTACAGGTAAGAACGTGGGTGGGCTGGTAACGTATTCTTAGACACGGAAGTGAACAATATGGCAAGAAATATAGCGTGATGATACTTAAAGACGTTTTGACAATGCGTAATTTGTATTAAGATTTGTAGTTTTTCTTAGCCTTATTAAGTTGGAACAGACACAAGCTAAACAGTAATGCCACATCACGTTTCACGCACTGTGCGCTACTGTATGCAGGTTAGCAGAGCCAGTTATGCTCTCTGGGATTCCTGGCATTGTGGGGATTCAAATTTGCATTCTTCTCACAACAGGAAAAATCCTTAGGCACCTACACTGCTTGGGAATTCTATATAAATTTCTCTTCCCTAGAGGAATTTCAAATATAGACCTGTCAAATCATTAAAATAAACAAATTATTAGTAAATAGAGTGCATTATTTTGTGTACGTACTCATGATTAATTACATTTACCTTGTATGCTTAAATATTATTATTATTATTATTATTATTATTATTATATATTATTTTCCATTTAAAAGACAGTGCATTTTGTTATAGCTATTTGTGTGGACAAAATGAGCTTCATCAGAATGTATTTTATTACTTTCAGTAATTTAATAATCCAGGAGTCAGGAGAATTCCCGGTGGGCCGGTAGTGTTTTGGGCCAGTTACTGCGAGCTATGAATATGCACATATTTATTCAGTATTGTCATTATATGCTGTTACCTGTGCCTCCTTGTACATTTCATTATTGCACTGCCTTTTTTTTTTATCTCAGGATAGAACTTACAACACAAGAACGTTCAGACTGTAAATGTTACACTGAAGTGTATATCAGTGGTAATTTAGGCATAAAACAAGTGGCCCCCTTCTCAAGTGACACAGCCCTGGGTTACTGTAGTTGAGACTCGCACAGTGGATTGAGACTAGATGAAGCTGGAGTTAGCTTCATTTCCCGTTCCACCTTGAATGATGTATCAGTTATGTTCAGACACTTGTACAGACATTAGTGTGCAGCTGCAGGACTTTTTAAGGTGGAACAGTAACTTCTGTCTTTCAGGATGAGTGTGACTGCGTGAATCTGGCCATATGATCATCCAGTCTGGTGATACTGGCTTAGACAACAGGCAGAGCTCCATAGAGTCAGTTACATTAGCTTCAAGGTTTCAGTTCATCAGCACACCAGTTTTTGAATTTAAATCTCCAGTCGGGGTTAAAAAATGTAACTGGGAATAAATGTAAAAATCGTGGTCGGTTTTTTGGTATTTTAACACAAAATGCTCTTTTACTACAAAACCTGACATGTGCTTTCTGAAAATATCAAAGCAAACATCTAAAGTTACTTCAGTGCATCATCATGGTTAAGACATAAATAGACCATAAACATGGGTAAGACATAAACAGACGTCGTCATCATGAGTAAGACATAAATAGATCATAAACATGTTTCATGCCTGCCGTGGCAATATGCTTTTGCCCACAATGATTAGGTCTCAGCTGTCTGATTTTAACTTGAGTTTGTCACCTTTTTTAGACAGGGGTTGTGTCTGGGGTGAACAGATGCATACTTTATAATGGAGGTGCTGCAGTGTGGAATGGGTAGGGTGATGACTGCAGGGCTGTTAGGAATAGCCTATAGGCTGACGTAATGACATTGCAGGACGTTAGGGGATTTTGTGCGTGTGTGTGTGTGTGTGTGTGAGAGAGACTCCTGGTCTGGAAATAAGTCCGGCCCGGACCTTGCTTAAAGGAATTGTTTCGTCTGCTGTTCATTAATAACTGCTAAAATGAAAGTCAACATTTTTTTCCTTAGTAGAGATTCCAGCAATGTATATTTAAAATTTTTGTAAAGGAAATCAAACCTGTCAATGTGTTTGGGTGCTCTAGACTCTAGAGTGAATGATGTCTGTAGTTCTAGTATAAACTATTATGTACGCTCAGTTTGAAGGATGTGTGCGTCTAACCCTCAATAAAAAGATATCCTGTTTAAAAATGAATTGGAAATGATTTTTCAAAGAAATACTTTTACTTTTGTTACTTTAAGAACATTTATGAGCATATACTTTTGCTTGAGTAAAAGTCTTACCTCAACTTTTACTTCACCTTAAAAGCCATTTAAAAGTGATATTTGTGCAAAATTGCTGCCATTAATTGGTGTTCTTTATGTAGGCTAGTGATTGTACCCACAGTGTGCTCAAAAAATGTTTAAAAAAAAAAGTTAAAGTAGAACTCGACCAATTTTTCAAAATTTCTGTATAATTCTGCGGTTGGGATGTAAACAAAGTCCTTCCGAGCGGTTTGATGTGAAATGGTTCATTGTAGAGAAACTTTTAGACTCTTTACAGTGGTGGTGGTAGGAACCAGGGGTCGCAGTGACAACATAAATGGAACCATTTCATTTATTATCCAAACCACCAGTGAGCCCACATGTGTCTTCTGTTTTTTTATGTCATGTTGATGATGGTAGAATACTGCTGATACAACAGGTTTTCTTTGGAAGCTATTTTGCCTTGAAACACACTTAATGTACCCATCCACCATGAATGTATTAAAATAAATTGATTAAAATACATTTTAGATGAAAACTTTATTGTAACTATTGTAAAACAATGTTTGACAATGTATTCATAAGCACTTACAGTAGTAACTTTCTGTAGGGAACTTTAAGTGGTGGACATCTGGTTTCTATCACTACCACTATAAACAGTCCAAACTCACAGTTTCTCAAGAACGGAGCGTTTCACACTAAACCACTCTGAATGACTTTGTTGACTTGTTAACCGTTTGATTATGCATAAAATTTGGAAAATTGATGGTGTTTCCCTTTAATGTAGCACAATAATAGACTTCCTTTTCCTCGTGTTTCCTACGTCTACTTACAGGATGAATCATTTTGTACTACTTCACTAAAATGTAATGTTTTGATTTCTTTTCTGCTTTTCAGAAAGAGGACCATCACATCTGAATATGAACCCATCCAAGGCAGTAACCAGCCCCTCTCACTGAATAATGACCCTGTTAAATCAGCCGGTAAGCCACATCTCCTGTTCTCTGTGTGTAAACAGAAGGAGGTTTGTTTCTGAGGTTTGTTTAGAGCACCAGGGGAAAGCTTAACCTTTCTCACTTCTCTAAAGGGACTTTCATTTTCATGATTTTTGTCTGAATTTACATTTATTTCCTCATTTCTAGTAAATCACTCGAGCACACAGATTTTAATGTTTACTGTTCTGCTTGAGTACTGTAGCTGTACACTAACATGGATAGTATTGTCAGTAAAAGCATAACAAGTCACACTTGTTAGCAGATTGTAGTAGTATTAGAAATAATAGTAGTAGTGCTATTGAAGTAGTAGTATTAGCTAATTAGATAAAAAAACAATGCTTTATGTATGTAATGATTTTCTTGCGATTGTTGAAATAGGAAATTTCAGTCAGATTTGATATTCCAATTTGTAAACCATTATTTGTAAAACATTATCCAAAAAAAGAAACAAAAACTTCCACATAGAACTACAGGCAACACAGTATCGCTGTTGTTACTAAGGTTGTACTATATAACCAAGCCAACAAAAAGCCATAGCAGGTGACGTGTGGCTTTAAGTTGACTGTGAGAAAAGCTGCCAGTAAACAGTCAAATGCTAAGTGTCTGTTTTCACCTTGGGTAGTTTTCCTAGCCTAGTTACATCCCTACATTACAATGCAAAGTGTTATACAGACTAACCCATGGTTAAATGGGAACTCCTCCATTTTTTTTTTTCTTTTCATTTTTGTATGTTGTGATACCATCAGTGTCATTCAGTGTGGTTTGATGTGAAACTTCATTCAGGAAGTTTCACATCAAAGGGGTGAACCAGGGGTCGCAATGACAAACAAATATAGCCATTTTATTTACTATTCAAAACCACGAGTGAACCTGCATGTGTCTTCTTTTTTGTGTGTGTATGTAATGTTTATGACGGTAAAAAAGTGACATATCTGAAAAAATGTTTTCTTTGGAGATTATTTTGTCTTCAATGCCCTGCATGGTCCTCTCCACCATAAATAGACGAAAAATAATGTGCGTTTTAGGCCAAAACCTTTTCAAAACTATCATAAAACAATCTCTCAGACATCTGGCAGCATATTCATAACCATTTTGCATAAGAACTTTCTGTGAGGGAGCTTTTAGAGGCACTAAACTCTTCAGACGTCTGGTTCCTGTCACCACCTCAGTACTCAGGGCTTTCTAGAACTAAGCATTTAACGTCAGATCACTTTGAATGGCTTTGTTCATCAGCCACTGAATTAGGCAGAAATTTTGACAATTTCTTGGAATTCCCCTTTTAACCTACTCAGTAACTACATGATCTAAAAAGCAAACTGACTGAGTTATTCTTAGGTTATGGAAGTACGTAGTAAAACTTTGTACACGCCAATGTCTCCTGGCCATTTAAGGGGTTAAGATGAGCAAGATAAAAACAAAAATAGAGCAGTTCCAGTGAAAAATCAGAAAAAGACAGTTAAAACAGAAACAATACCACAGCTGAGAATACCAACTATAACTGACTGACTGACTGGCTTAATTTAATATTTATTTATTTGTTTATTACAGGTCAGGTGACCTGTTGCGAATCTCTGGGTGAGCGTTTCGAGAACGCCCTCCGCTGCTTCTTCAGCCAGTGGGGTTCATTCTGCGTGCGGCAGCCCCTGCTGGTGATCCTGATCAGCATGGTGCTGGTGGCGGCTTGCTCCACGGGTCTGATGTACATGCGTGTCACCACGAACCCTGTGGACCTGTGGTCGGCCCCCGGTAGCAAGGCCAGGCAGGAGAAGGACTACTTTGACCAAAACTTTGGACCTTTCTTCCGCACAGAGCAGCTGATCATCACCACACCCTGGACAGACTGGTTCACATTCGTGTCCACGACCGGACCAGACATTCTTTTCGCTCCCATACTGAACATATCTCTGCTTCATCAGGTGTGGACAACATTATACAGAAAATTACTTGTAACAGTTAATGATTTTTAAGCATTTCTTTTTTGCAGGTGTATAGGTTAATACTTGTAGAAACCACAACAAAGGAGATAAGAATATTTAATAGAATAGTTAGATATTTTTTATGAAATTTCATTAGGGTGGTTTAAGGGATGTTCACTCGGATCATTGTTGTAAAAATACCTTGTATCCTAGTGAGCCTGTGCTCAGAACAGAGGTACTGCGGTTAAAGCCCCCCAGTGATGGTAAAACTCATTTACAGTTGGTTTAAAAAAACATCATTTGCTATTAATTGATTTCATTTCTTTCATGCAAACCATAGGAAGACATACATAACAATGTTTAAACATGTTGGGTAAACTGATATCCTATCCATGTTTATTGTACCTAACCTTAGACAAGATTTTCTGAAACTCAGTAAGGATCTGTGCTGGTTAAGTGCCTGTACAAAAACTTTTTAGGACGTCATTTAGGACATTCTCAGACCACAGCACCAGGTTTCAGAAATCATACAGAGCAGCTTCAGGTCTCAAGAACAATAGTCCTGTTTGAGGTCTCATGCAATTTCACATCAGGTGAAACTGCCTTAGACAAAAGGCTGAGTCTTTAGTTAGTCTAAGCAGCAACTAAACAGAATCAAACAGTAATTCCTGTGACGAGCAACAATTTTTGCTGCGCTATTATGTTAAGGTTAGACTTCACCCTCAAATTAGGACCAGAAAATAACCTGGATGTACTCACCAAGTCCAAATCACACAATTGACAATTGAGCAGAAAGAGATTTTACAATATCACACAAACTCTAAATGCACTCGGCACAGAACTTCCAGGTCAAACCAACGTGTTACGAAACAAAAAGTCAAAATAATTACTTATTGTCTCGACTTCTTATTTATTATGGTGAAATTGATATCTTACTTTTTCAAAATAATGACATATTGAAATAATCATGCACTTCCTCAAAACATAGTAGCTGTTTAAGGAAAAAAAATGAACTAGAATGACAGTTTAAACCACAATCAGAGAAGGATATAAAAATTTTGCTCCTACCCAGCAGAAACCAGCTGTCATGCAAAATCATGTAAGTCTGCTCATAAGTTAATTACAAAGTTGCACCTTTGTTCCTTTGAATGGAGTTCTTAGTAGATAAGCCACTAAATTAGTCAGCCCTCCCAGACGTGAAGTGTCTGTATACTATATGTAAACCTGGCCCTAAATGTGTAAACATACACCCACCACCACCATCAAGCTAATGTTTTCAAATGCCGTAGTGAATGAAAAAACAAAGTTAGGAGTAGGGTTCTCCCGAATACATTTGTTTGGTTCCAGCTTCACTCAGTCTACCAGGCCCACTAGCTTCTCTTAGTGGGGGCTATGGGGTAATAGCACAGTGCATGCCCGCATTGACCAGCCCTTCACGGAGGTGGTCTGACTCGAGGTACGAAGGGCATACATTGTGGCCCTAGTAAGGGTCTGGGACAGTGGGACACTGTCTGCTGCTGTCTTGGGAATAAATGCTGCTGTGAGTGAATAGACTGTCAGGTGCTCAAGCTGAGACGATGTATATTTCCACATTTTAACAGTGCAATAAAAAGTGTAAATATAGTACAAGAATTACTGATAAATGATGGAGTGGTGGGTTTTCCGGAGTAGAGCAGAGGGCTGTGGTTTTAGCTGTTAGTGCTTGAGAGGCTGTGTTTCTTGCCATGTTTTTCAGCAAATTCAAAAATAAAGCTGCGTTATGGACCGCAACCTTAAGTCGTCTAAGTTTCTCCCGAGAACCCCAAACGTTACAGTATTTTGCAGTTTGCCTTTATTGATGGCCTAAAAAAGATAGAATACCTAACTAATGAGCGAAGATCTGAATAGTCGAATATTCAGACTCAGCCCAACGTTATGACATGGAAAAAAAGGCACATGCTCTTGGACAGTCTTGGCAGAAGCCCCTCTTGGATTGCACAGATGTTGGGTTTGCAGAAGTGATACTGTCCATCTTGTAACGGGTATTGAGATCCTAAGGTTGCGTTCATTATTCTTACCCTCAGGTAACACACAAACTAAGCAGTTTAAAAAATAAGTACATTTTTATAATAATAAGCTCTGATATTCCTTCTTCCACAAAGGTTCTGGATCTCCAGACTGACATAGAGAACCTGGAGGCGGACTATAAAGGGCAGAAGGTGACGCTGAAGGACATCTGCATATCTCCCCTGTCACCCTACAACAACAACTGCACCATTCTGAGCGTCCTGAATTACTTCCAGAACAGCCATGAAGTCCTGGACCACAAATTTGCTGATGAGTTCTTCACGTACGCTGATTACCACACACACTTCATGTATTGTGTGAGGTAAGTGTTTTGTTTTTTTATTTTTTTTCTTTCTTTCTTTTTTCTCCCTTACGCGATAGGTTTGCAGTTTCTGTTCATCACAGAGTAGTGGTGGTAAATTCCTGCAATAGAGACCTGCTGTGGTTGCAGGTGTTTTCTCTTCCCTTTGTCTTCTAAGGAAATAGTCCCTTAGAGTAATATTTGTGTGTGAAACCACCTTTCGTTTAATAGTAAGTACAAGTTATTCATTTTTCAGGAGATATATTTCTGTGGAGATTAGATATAAAATAATCCACTTGCATAATTAAGGAGAAAGTCAAAGGAAAATAAGTGGAAAAAACAGGAGCTTCTAAAACTGCAGTTAAAAGCTACAGAGAAAATGGGACTCCTAACAACCACCTGGAACACCTGGTAGACACCAAAACTGTCCCTATCAGATAAACAGTACTTAAAGCTTTCATCTTTGAGAGAGAGGAGAAAATCAAGCTCCACTCTGGGTTCAGATCTGAATAAAAATCAATAAAAAGTGTTTTTCATCCCTCCACTGTGAGGAGAGACTCAGTGCTATGAGTCAGAAAGGATGTGTAGCTCTCAGAACGTTCTTACTGAGAAAATGAAATTGATTAAAAAAGGATCAAACAAAGCAGCTGCTCGTGTTCTCAGGACAGTGAGAACCACCAACACAGATTGTTGAATGTGTTTGGGATTACCTGGATCGTGCGAGGCAGAAAATGTTAAACCAAGGCTGAATTTAGGAAGTGTGGAAAAATATCCCTGGAGATTTCTTTGAAAAACTGAAAGTCTCTTGAGAAGACTTGACGCTGTAATACAGGCACACTAAATATTCTTTATATTTTATATATAGATGTATATTATTTTTTTTCCTGATACTGTAAAATGAATAATGTACTTAATGGCTGTTTTGACTGGAAATTAAATAAGTGAATGGTGGTCTCTGATTTCTGCACAATAATCTACAAGACTTACTGTGTTGCTATTTTGAATATAGCTCTGTTATAAATATAGCAGTAGAATGAAGTCTTTTTTACATTTATTTTCCTTATTTTTGTTCCTTGTTTTCATTCATAATCTCCCTCACTGTTTCTTATCTCTGTGTTTGTCTTAGTTCTCCAGTAGCCCTTGATGATATGGGTCATTTCCATGACCCCTGCATGGGTACTTTTGGGGGCCCTGTTTTCCCCTGGCTGGTCCTTGGAGGCTATGAAGGTCAGTACAGTTATTATAACAGTTATCATTGCATATTTTTTACTCTATCATTGTTGTATTTAGGTGAGTTCCTTTTTTTGAAGATTAAGAGATCAGAATCAAGTAAAAAGACTCTCACATGAATCTGTTATTTACTCTTCTCTGAATTGTTTTTAATTCACTGTGTTTAATTAACCATGCTCTTCCCAATTCAGGTACGGCCTACAACAATGCCACTGCTCTTGTGATCACCTTACCTGTCAACAACTACCTCAATGACACAGACAAACTGGGCAAAGCTCTTGCTTGGGAGAAAGAGTAAGCATTTTAATGGTTTCGTCTGCATGCGCTGTGTTTGTTATACTAATGATACTCTGAAAATCCAAAATTTGCATCAGGGGTGCAATCCCCTCCTGAATTAAGATGATATTTGAAATACACATTACATTACATTAAATAATAAGCCATGAAAGGCTGCTTGTTACAGTGATTTTGTCACGGTTAAGGTTTGGCGCCCTTTAAGAGTGCCTAAAACCCCCTTAAAGCGCACATATAATGGAAAAACAAATTTCCTTCCTTTTTAAAGTAAAAGAGGTTCATGTACTATGTAAATGTTGTGTTCACTCTCCGGTCCATAGAGTTTGTATATGGAAAGTAAGCTGCAAAAACATCTCATTTTGAATTAATTGTTTCTGTAATGTCACAAAAACCAGTGCACTTACATATCCACCTATTCAGCCCACAGACGTTTAGCTCCTCCCATTAAAAGTAGGGTTATAAGGAGAGTTTTAACATGGACTGCTTTTTAAATAAGGCAGACAGTCAAAACAATGCTCATTTACGTATTATATCAGTCTTAAAACTACAGTAACTAAAACAGACCGTTTAATTCTAAGGGTTAAGTTGGGCAGTGGTCATGCAAAGATGTATTCTGGCTGGTTTTCGTACATAGAAGCACTCAAATGTCATAAGAGGCCCTCAGGTGGCAAATGGAAATATAAGGAAATTGTAGGATATTGTAGGACGCTTTAAGCATGATAAAATTCATGACCTAGAGCAGCTTACTGAATTTCTAAAATGGCAGCAAAATACAATAACAATCAGATTTAAGAACCAGAGCAATCCGTTCTACAAAATATTTGTTAATGGCTGTGTTCAAAATGGAATGGACACAAGTAACAGCATGAACATGTGGAGTATCTCATTCTCTGCGATGCTTCAGTTCTAACCTGTATGTTCCTCCTCTGTTCTCAGGTTCATCAGTTTTATGAAGAACTACAGCAACCCGAACCTCGCCATCTCCTTCAGCTCAGAACGAAGCATTGAGGATGAGATAGATCGCGAAAGCAACAGTGATGTTGCAACCATCATCATTAGCTATGTCATCATGTTCGTCTACGTGTCCTTGGCGCTGGGCCACATCCACAGCTTCCAAAGATTACTGGTGAGGCCATAAATGATATCACATCCTCAAAGGTTTAAAAAGGCCTGAATTATTTTCTCCCTGAAGTCCACTTGGAACCGAGATACAAGGGGTAGTGGTTGAAATCTTTCGCTACGAAATGGGACCCTCAAATAAAAGAGAACAGTGCTTCATTAACAGGCTACTAGCGGTGCTCTGTAGGTGACCCTGTCAGTCTGCAGTGATAGCAGAGGAGGGTAAAGTTCAGCAATCTCACTGCTGGGCTTAAGTTACATGTAGCCTTCAAAAAAGGGGAATGCAACCAATATTTACTGTCACCCACCCCAGTTCTTCAGTGATATGAAGCTGAAGTCAGCTGTTCGCCAGCTTCTTGTTGGAATCTCTCGCCTGAGGTGCCAGAAAGTAACTGCTGCACCATTTAAGGTGGAACGAGAAATTTAGCTAGCTAACTACTGAGACATCAGCACACTACTAGTGATTTTGTGTTTTAATGCTTATTATGAAGAAAAGGACCATAATGCATTGAAACCACATTAAACTAAGGTAATACAGTGGTTATCCTAATTTTTAACAGAGAAAATGCTTATTTTTGTGGGTTTCTTTGGTCGCTTGCACCGCTATCTTGGTTTTTCTTTTTTTCTCATAAAACTCAGTTTTGGAGTGAGTCTCTGAAAAACCTCCATTTGGAGGGTCATGTAGCCCTAACACTTGACCCTACCCTTAGTAAGGGCTAAGTGGTAGGGGCGAGGGGAGAAATGGGATTGGGGTTTTTATCCATATTATTTATAAGATCTGTACTAGTATGTTCATTAAAACCATTTTACATAAATAAAGGTTTCACTCACACTTTCTGGCTTATTACCCAGACAAATGATCTCATATTACCAACTACACAGCAACTCAAACAGCTTGCCTTTAAACAAGCAGGTTTGGTCATTCTGCTGTCTGTTTTCAGCTGAGGTTTACTCAACAGATGAATCCATACCTGTCATTTAAAGTTGTTTTTTGGCTTTTGACATGGATAGAAAACATTAGGCTTATCAGGCTATCGGGTGTTTCAAAGGCACATCTGACTGTGTCTGAAGGTTTAATTTCAAAATATGTGCATGCTGGAAACACTGACTAAAAAACCTAAACTTCAAGGTAATGGCAGGTTGCCGTTTGATAGAAATGGTTTCTTAGAAATTTAAAGAAAGATTGGTCTGTCAAAGAAAGAATGGTGCAGAATGAACAGACCTTAGCTGCTGTAAAACGGTACTTTCATTACCTTTCCTGCGGGTGTTAATAGATGTTTCATTACCGTTCCTGGGGGAATATCATGAAGTGTACCTTCCTCATTTCTGTTCTTACAGCACAGAGAAAAAATTAATTTCGTCCCCAAACCCACAGATTACCAGGGAAATGTGAGTCCAGGGAAATGTGCATTCTCCTAGTTCAGTGTAAAATTCTCAGAGAGAGCGATAAAAATAAACTTCAGAAGCTCCTCTCAGCTATGTGGATTCTTTGGAAGGCTGCAATGATCCATTTACCTCCTGACAGCCAGCAATAGCACAATGTTTTCCAACACTTTCCGCTCCAATAACTCGGCTACAGACTGTCTGCAGAAACAGTAGAAAATGTAAAAAAATTATGCTGCTAGGCTTTTTAAGATTGGGTCAGTTCATATGCTGTTATATTTTACCTAGAAAGTCAACAAGACGTAATTTAACTGTTCAGACTTTTGCATTCAACTATGTTAGCAATGCAGGAATTAATGAATTGTTTTATGTGGGTTTCAGGTGGACTCTAAGATTTCTCTGGGAATAGCTGGGATCCTGATTGTTCTGAGCTCGGTGGTCTGCTCTTTGGGGATCTTCAGCTACGCTGGTGTTCCCCTCACCCTCATCGTCATTGAGGTCATTCCCTTCCTCGTGCTCGCTGTCGGGGTGGACAACATCTTCATTATCGTGCAGGCCGTTCAGGTTGGTAGCTTGTATCTCTCCATTGTCCTACTTTGCATAGTAGCTTGGTAGCTGTTTAGCCAGAAGAATAAGATAAGAGTTCTGTTTTAAGACTTTGAAGTTGAGTGTTTTCAGTAAAAGCTATTTCTCTCTTTTAAACCCAACGAGTGCGTGCTGCTGCGGTCTGCAGTGGCTATTTTTTGTTTAGGTTTGCCAGTTTGTGGGTGTAAGAAGGGTATTTGTGGAGAATCTGCTTATCACAGTCACGCACCTCTTCAGTTTCTCTTCTGTTTTTGTCTAAGTAGCCAAAAGTGTCTGTCCGGACTGTCAAAATCATTACATAAGCGCTTCATGTGCTGTTATTGAACCTGACTGCAGTTATTTACCACAGTTGTTAACTTTCACAGTCATACACTACTGTGCAAAAGTTAAGATTTTACAATTAAAAAGCTGTTTATCTGGGCAGTAAGCATTTACTTATTCAGAAAAACACTGTTGTTAGAATAAATACAATCAATAGTCAGTTGCTAATAAGCATTGACAGCAAAAGAGTGCAATAGTTAACCAGCTATTTTGACCATGATAGTACTTTAATAGTTGCCTACAATAAACAATACCAACTTGTCTTTTAACATTGTCTTAATGACTATATTAAATTATCACCTAAAATCTCATGATTGTGATGGGCCGAGCCCGAATATTTGGAAAGTATATTTGCTCAAATATTACATAATGCAGGAGTAAAATGCTACATGTTGCATATGTTTTTGAAGCTGTTACTTTTTCATTAATATAATGGAAAAACTGTGGCAGTTATCAGTGAGAAATTTAAAGCATGCTACGGAGATGAGTGTTTTTGGGGCCGATACAGATACCAACTGAGGGCAGGGCTGGACTGTTAAGGCCTGTTTACACCAAGTGCAATTTTTTTTCAGATGATGAAACGGATGCGATTTTAACGTAGTGGGACCTTCACGCCAAGTGTGAAGTGTGTTTCGGTCTAAACACTTTGAAAAGCACTTGAACTAAATGCTGCATATACTTGGTACATCCCATTCTACAAAAAAGACAGCGACACGGAGGGACCTACTGCCTCGATTCTGCGTATTTCTGTCTGTCAGTGCGGCAATTTGAGGCTCTTCTTCTGCTTATTGCTTCTCTCATTAAAAAGGAGCAAATGAAATACAGTTAAATCCTGTCACTGTAATGTGACCACAGTCATTTATAGCCATTCAGCTCTCATCTGCCATAAATGGTCTTTAAGCTCTGCATTCTTTTAGTCAGCGTGTTGCTTGTCGTATAAGTTTTTGTGCTCTGCTACAAACAAGAGTTCTGCCACCATCCTGACGCACGTTTGTTTGAGCTGCAACCATGTCAACAGAGCTCTGATTGATTAGCCTGATTTTAATGCATCCGTACGCAAAAAACAAGTTGATCAGTTTTGGACTGATGTGAGAGACAGCATTAATATACATGTGTTTGTTTTCAAAACTAGCCAGACTTTTTTTTTGTTTTGTTTTGTTTTTTTTTGTCTGTAAAATTGTCTCACATGTCAGAGAGTCTGTATTTCCATCTAGCATTAATATGAGGAACTGCAGGGGCCTGTGACCAAGGGGCCTCGCGCAGGGCTGCCGCAGTCCTTAACTAGTGAAATATTGCTAATATGTTTTACATCGCTGATTAGCTCTCAGGATCGGCAGTATGCTGAAGCGAAGCAGAGCAGTGAACTGTTTTTTTGCCAGTCGGATACACTTAACGTCACACAAGTTCATTCTCATCCCTTTGCGTGAGCATGAATCAGAGCTTTTGTAAAAATTACATTTCCAGGGCTGTAATGACCGCAGCATAGAGGAAACGTCTCACTGTGAACTTCTGTTTTCTATGCCTCTTTCTGTGAGCAGAGAGATGAACGGATGCAGCATGAAGAGCTGCACCAACAGATAGGCCGTGTCCTCGGAGACGTGGCCCCCAGCATGTTCCTCTCCTCCATTTCTGAGACCGTGGCCTTCTTCTTAGGTGAGAACTATATTTCTGTATATGTATGTATGTATGTATGTATACTTTTTTTTTTATTATTATTATTATTTTTACCCAATTTTCTCCTCAAATTTAGTTGTCTAGTTAGGACTGCCCCAATTACACGAAACCATCAACACTAGGAGGATGAAGGCTAACATAGGCTTCCTCTGAGACCTGTGAAGCGCCACCGCTTCTTTTCGAACTGTCGCTGACGCAACGTCATAGGACAGCCGAACGCGCTCAGAGGAAAGCGCCAACCGCCAGATCTGTTACGTCAGCTAACAGACGCCTGCTCTGACTAGCATCGCGTTTAGTGATGGGGGGACAAGGAGGGGCCATCCTACCCACCCAGAGAGAGTGAGGCCAGTTGTGCTCTCTTGGACTCCCGGCTACGGATGGCTGTAGCATCACCAGGGATCAAAGTCGCGATCTCCTGATAATAGGGCCAACGCTTAGGCGGTTGCGCCACTCGGGAGCTGATTATGACTTAATTTAAATAAAGTCTGTAATAATACTTTACAAAAATATTAAACACAGTTAGTGGAACAGTGTGTACTTTAAGTGTGTGCGCGTACAGATAATTTTGTACGTCATTGAAAGTGAGCTTAACTTTATTTAACTTTATTTGTCTCTCCCCATCTCTCTCTGCAATTCTTTCTGGCTTGCTTGCTCTCTCCCTCTCTCTCTCGGCAGGATCTCTCTCCCACATGCCGGCAGTGAAGACGTTCTCTTTCTTCGCTGCACTGGCCGTCCTCATTGACTTCCTGTTGCAGATCAGCTGCTTTGTCTCTCTGTTGGGTCTCGACATCAAGAGGCAGGAGGTGAGGGTCCAAAGAGGGTCCTGGTACAAGGAGATGCCAACATTTTCATCGCCAAAAACCTGATAATTTATTTTATTAAATCTATATTTATTAAACATATACATTTAATTCCTTAATATATTTATATTTAAAGGAGTTAATTTTAGGACAGTGGTCTACAAGTACGTAAGCATTTTAGTGCCTGTGACACATGTTCCTCATGTAGATGGAATCCAGTTAAAAATGAATGCAATTTCTACTGAAGTTATATATTCAATCATTTTTTTATATATTAATGCACTTTTTGTTGCATGTACATTTTTTTTAAACACATTCAGTTAATATTTTAAATAAAAAAGCCAAAACATAATTAAATAGATTTCTGAAGTCATGTCATTCTGTATTCGACTTCATGCCGATATTAGAAGCTATATTAATGATTATATTAATTAATAATAAAAAACCTTTTGCGCATGGTTGTCATTTTCCCTGCAGTAGTGATATTGTGCTGACCACTGTTCTAGGAAATGTAAAAAAATATATATGCATCTCATCATGGGTTTTAGGGGAATTTTAACTAATTGTACTCTTAGTGCCAGATGTTCCGATACAAGAAATACCCAGCTCCATCTGTTTGGGAAGATATTGGGAACTTCCCTTGATGTTCCAGACTGAGTAACCTGAAACTTGAAATAAACTCTTCCCTGCTCTGCTGCCCTTCAGAGAAATCGCTTGGACATTCTGTGCTGCATTAAGCTGCCTGAAACGCAGGAAGAGAAAACTGAAGGCATCCTCTTCCGCTTCTTCAAGAAAGTCTACGCTCCATTCATTCTGAAGGAGTGGGTGCGCCCCCTTGTGGTAAGTCATATCTGGTGTAGTTTGACACAACAGGGACTGCAGCGTATGGCAATAAGTGTAAATGATGCAGATTTCTGTTCTTTCCGAAGGTTGCTCTGTTCGTGGGCATGCTCTCCTTCAGCATAGCGGTCACTGACAAGGTAGAGATTGGACTGGATCAAAGGCTGTCCATGCCTGATGTAAGTCTTAATGTTCATGTCATGTTTGAATAATCTACACTGCTGTTCAAACGTTTGGAATCACTTATCATATAACATTTTTTGTTATTTTATATGCAAGAACAGCTTTTAGATGTAAAGGTAATAATTAACTAGGATTTAAGTTTTATAAACTAGAAACCAAAACATATTTTTACATATTTTATTCAATGTTTCCAGTATTTTAGAGCAGCAAGAAATTGCAAATAATCCACTTCTTTTGAAATATCAGGCATTCTGGATATTAATTTTATTGTAATTTCTTGATGTCCTTCAGCTAATTGTCACTTCTGAATCATCACCTACAGCTTTGTTAATCATTCTGGACACTTTTTTTTTTTAATAAATCTAATACATCTTCATGATTATTTGCTAGCGTATTAGAAAATTTTTATACATTTACCTGCATTCAGATTGTTAAATGTTATTGAAAGCATTTGATTCCATTGGCCAACTTAAAGATGTTAGAAGGTTATTTCACAGCGTCCAGGCTTTCAGGATTCCTTCACAGCATATGATTTTGCTCCTGCTTAGTATTCTTGCGGTTGGTGACTGTGTTCAGTCATGTTTAAGGCTTTATGGTTTTACTGTGTCTTTTCTTGTAGGACTCATACGTTTTGGACTATTTTGGAAATCTGACTGAGTACCTCCACACGGGGCCCCCTGTCTACTTCGTTGTGCGAGAAGGTCATGATTACCGTACCTTGTATGGCCAGAACCAAGTGTGTGGTGGAGTGGGCTGCAACAACGACTCTCTCGTCCAGCAAATCTACACAGCCTCCCTCATGAGTGACTAGTGAGTGACCCTGACTTTGCAATAGTCAATACTTAGTTTGCACAGATTTGGTCTTCAGGTTTCTGTGTTCTGGCTGTTGTTGCCTGTGACTGTGAAATCTAAAAAAGTAGTAAAAATGAAATTTATAAGGTTTTTAAAATATGTTTGTGTAGTAATGCATTAATGTTTAGAGCCTGAAACATAACTGGCTTTGTATTGAGAAGATAATGCATTCCTTTACTTATGGTGTCCTTGAGAACCCGGAGGCTGAAGTGTCAGCATTACTTTAAAAACATTTGCTAATTTAACGTAGCTGTTAATGTTATATATGTAATACTGTTAAGTAAAGCAGGTTTTCTCAGCCACTGGGCCTTGGACCACATGTGGGCCGCGAGGCACCCTTTGGTGGTCCTTGGGCCATTACTGAAGAGGACCAGTGGTCCGAAGTGGGCTGCTGATGGCACTTAAAGATCACTGAAAAAATAAGTGAAACAATACAATTTTCAAATGGTAAACAATATTAATACAAGCCATGCAACAACGGCCCACAAAAACATCTTTGTAAATTTTTTAGCCCCTTGCCTTTAAAAAAAAAAAATACACGCGCCCCCCAACATCTCAGCTGTTCACTTGCGAGCGACGGTTATTAACAATTATGTTGTAGAAAAATTCCACCTAATTTGCCACCATCCTGTTGATTTTTAAGGTTCACTGATATATGGTGCTTATTCGAGGGGTAGGCCCTCCAACGTTTGTTGGAAATTTCTCAAAAATAAAATAAAAATCAGTTTTCTTTCCCTGTGGGCCTTCATGCTTTGTTCACAGGTTCACCAGTTTTTTTAATGATTTTAATTTTTAATGATTTATTGATCAGTACTTCCTGATGATTACTTCTTTTGTTATAATGGCCATAATTGGGGCCAAAATACAGGCAGCAGTTCTCAATTTACTTCAGTTATTAACATTTCTGAGATTCAGGACACATGTGTGACATCTGATAAATAACCTCAGGCCAATAAATATTATCGCTGTCGTAAGAAATCAGTAAGGCTGTATTAATCTCTGAAACATTTGTGAAGCTATTGCCAGTCTCATCTAGTGAAATGACGGTTGTGTTGGTGAGGCTACTTTGAATTGAGATGGAGTTAACATGTCCACTGATAAGCCCTCTATTGTAACTTGTGTATCTGTCAGCTCTAAGATCAGCACAACGCCCTCCTCCTGGTTGGATGACTACTTTGACTGGGTGAAGCCTCAGTCGACCTGCTGCCGATACTACAATGCCACTGGAGCCTTCTGCAACGCCTCAGGTAAACCATTAGCCACAGAATCCACAAGACCTTCACACACACAAACTTCCAGAGTTCACTGGCCCTCCTTTGTATGGAGGCAGAGTGTCTAATCCCCTCCACTCCAAAGTTCTTCGAATCCATTTTTGAGTGTTACTTATACGTTAACCTTATCTGAGTATTACTATGCTCTGGTAAGGGCCACGATAAAACTGGGAAGCTCAGAGCCTTAAACCTGTTTGTTGTGGAGAGTTTTGGCAGTGGTGGAGGAGGGGAACACAGGTGTTGCTTGCATCATTTGTGCTCTCAGGCAAACAAGTCTGTCATGAGTTAACTTTATCCACTCTAGCCAGCGACTCTTTTGCCTGTGGACCGAAAGCCGCTCTCAGTGCTGCTTTCCATGATAGCAAAACGGTGAACTAACCAAATGAAATGACACCAATAAGGTGATTATTTTAATTTTGTTACACTCTTTGTCCTGATACAGGACTCCTAAATGCTATAGAAGTGACAGTAGTGACTGATAGAAACAGCTGGACCTACTACATTATTGCTGCCTGCTGGATAAGATTTGATATTCAATAAGAACACGCTCAAAATTATAGTTTGTTATAAAACATATGTATTGTTTTTAGTAGTAGCAGTCTTGAAACTGAAACTGAAAACTCAGATTGAATTTTGATAAATAGTTGTGGCTTCTCTGTTTTCACTGTCACATTAAAATATTACTATTTTTGTCAAAAGCTGTTCTGTGGCAAGGAGTCTGACCATTTCAACATACAGTAAAAAAAAACAGTAATAATAATAATAAGAAGAATAAGAATAATAATCAAGGTAATGTTTAAATGTCTTAAATGTATCTACATCAGATAAACCAGCCCAAAATCTGTTATGTTTTTTTGCATGTATTATATTTTGCCGTGTCTCTAATTCAGTCTACATTTTCATGTTTGTGTTGCAGTGGTGGATCCATCATGTGTGCACTGCAGGCCTATGACTCCCAGTGGCAAACAGAGGCCTAATGGCACTGACTTCATGAGGTTCCTTCCAATGTTCCTGTCTGATAACCCCAACATCAAGTGTGGAAAAGGGTGCGTTATTAATTGCAATTTAAGTGCAGTGTCAAAGACTGGCTATAGTGTTTTTGTCATCTAACCTGCATGTCTACATACCATCAACGGGTATTCAAACTTGCTCTGTTTTTTGCTGCTGCGTTCATATAGAATGAAAAACTGTTAAAACGAATGGTCTAAACAATCTCAACCTATCTTAATGAGTTTAGTGATTAATGAATGTCAGTGTTGTCCTTTGTAGAGGTCATGCTGCATACAGCACCGCTGTGGTCCTGAAGGACAACAACACTGACGTGGGGGCCACCTACTTCATGAGCTACCACTCCATCCTGAAGACTTCTTCTGACTACATTGACGCCATGAAGATGGCTCGTGAACTGGCTTACAACATCTCTGTTTCTATGGGACTGAAGAACAAAACCCACTCTGTCTTCCCATACAGGTAAAGGTTTCTCATTGTAAAATATTATTTATTTAAAAGTCCAGTCTTTACCATCATACGTGATTGTGAGTTTGCCTCAGTTATGGTCTGTTTTTGTTCTAATCATAAAGCATTAAGTGCTCTTTTTAGACCCTGAGAGTTGGTTTGCATGACTTTTCAAAACATGTTTTCGCACCAGAAATAGTATTCAAAGTTCATGCAGTAAGAGGTCATCCCTGGTGACCCATTTCCGTTAAGAGTCATAAAAATTGTGCAAGTTGTGACGTGTATAAAACGACGCCAAGGGCAAAGAAATTGCTCTCGTTCTGCACAGCGTTACAGAACGTTCCCTTTTTTTTCTGTGGTTGGGGTGGGGCAAAGATCTGAAAGGTCCAGCCAGTTTAAGTATTCAAATCTAGTTCTGTATTTTACAGTGTGCTTTGACTCAGGCTAACACATTTTGCTATGGAAGGTTTGTTTTGGTGCTGTCATTTCCTCCTCTGTGGCTTCATTTGGGTGTTGATTTTGTATGCTAATGAACACTGCTCTCATTGGCTGTCTCAGTGGAAGGGGCAGGGTGAGGGGCGTGGCCATGTTAGAGAACTCCACAATGGCTGCAGCATAAAGAAATCATACATGTTCAACTTTTAAAGCTTGTTTACCCTAAAAGACCAGATACGTTCACAAAATAATGTACCTGTGCCTGTAAGCGTGTCATTACACCCCAATGTGTAATACAGAAATCTTGTAATCGTTTGTAAGTAACTCCTTGTTTACCCATTTCCACCGCTAAGATAATGCTAATTTCTGCAAATTTGGTAATAGGGATTTGCCTGTTACGTTAGCATCAAGCTAACTGTGTTGAATGTTTACATTTTACCGTAGCATTATAGATTAAACAGAGATATTTGAAGCTCATAACAGACATTCAGGTAACATTATTCCTTACTTTGTTACAGTTTGGATATTGATTTAAACTCACAGCCTATCGCTGAATATTACTGCAGCCGTTAGCAGCCAACTTACTCTAGTGAGGACAGAATATGGTCCAGTTAGCCCACAGAGAGCCTGTTAATATCAATGATAAAGAGTCTGGTATATCAGTCAATAACACAGAAGTTTAATGTCTGTGATATGTGACATTACATCACTGTTTTACAGTGTTAGTGTTTTACATTGTCCATCAGAAATGTGAAATGGCAGCTATGAGGGTAAAGGTATGAAGGCTGGATAAGTGGGCATGGTTAATTGAGTATGTTGGGACATTTACCAGATGTGATACAGCATCAACAGCCTGTAAAATCACATGCCTTTCGTTAAAAAAACAAAAAAACACTAAAAGCAGAAACTTGACATTTTAGTTTCTCAAATGGTGGATTCAGTGACAAGTAGACTGCAAACTGTAATACATTGAGTTTGTTTAAAAAAAAGAAAGTTGGAATCCAATTTTTTCACTTTCTATGTAAATTAACAAATTTCAGGTTAACTCTCAAAATTTATCTTTTGAAACCATAACTTCTTTAAGTAAAATAAGTAAACTTAATTACATGTTTGTAGTGAAGTGCCATATTGCCATTTACAGTGTAATATATGTGAATTGGCAAAGAAAATACTGTTTCATCTACTATGTCTTCTTTAAAAATTAGTGCATTGAATTCTTGAATGTTTCATTTACTCCTTCAGTGCTGGAAACGAAAAGGTTTTAAACCACTACCATTTAGTTCTTAATTTAGGAAATGTACCATTTTGAAAGTAAATTTAAAAATGGGTATATTTAATGCGAAACCAAAGTTGCATCAGAAAACAACCCACTCACTTTTTTTCCCTCTTTTTGTTCCTTCTTTCTGACTTTCCTTCTCTTTTTCTTTATTCCTGTTTCTGGTTTTTCTCCTTTCTGTCCCCTTTTGCAGTGTGTTCTATGTGTTCTACGAGCAGTACCTTACCATCGCCCACGACACGGCACGGAACCTCGGTGTGTCTTTGGCGGCTGTCTTTGCGGTCACCACAGTGCTCCTGGGTTTCGAGCTGTGGTCTGCCGTGCTGGTATCGCTCACCATCGCAATGATCCTGGTCAACATGTTTGGAGTCATGTGGCTGTGGGGCATCAGCCTCAACGCCGTCTCCCTTGTAAACCTGGTCATGGTGAGTAGAAACAACACTGCTGTTGGCCAGTTTTGTCCGCTCTCTGTGCATTGTTGTGACTTAATGGCCGAAACACCATCTGCCAGTTAATAGGAACTGGCAGGACAAGGAACAGTTTGGCAAAAAATCTAATTTATACAATTTTATAAATGTAGTCAGTCAGCCAAATGTAGTACATCAGACAAGACGTGTTGTTCCGATCCAGTTTTGCCTTCTTTTAGTTTAGCACAAAGCTAACGTTGCTAACAAACACTAGAAGTCAATGGCCACCTAATCTTTTCCACAAATACTTCCCCAAAACGCACTCTAACCGCATCCAGGTCTTCATTGAGGTCAGGTAGAATTATGTTGTTTTGGACATGAATTACTGTGAACTATTATGGTGAACAAAACGTCGCCATTTTAGACAATACGTGTCCAAATGTGGACTCCTTTTTGCGTACATGTATGTCACACAGGCATATGGACACTACGGATTATGCTTGTGATTTATATCGTTGTTGGTGTTGTTGGTGTTGGTGTTGGTGTTGTTGGTGTTGGTGTTGTTGGTGTTGGTGTTGTTGGTGTTGTTGTTGTTGTTGGTGTTGTTGTTGTTGTTGTTGATGTTGATGATGTATGTTTAGAAATAGAAACAGCAGAAATCATGACTCTAACCTAGTGTCCATATGTAACACACATGAACGTGAAGGGGAGGAGGCATGATTCTGCAAACACCCGTTAAAAATAGCTTCTCACATTGTTCAGCTACAGCTAAGTTTTATTCATTTTTAAAGTTTATAGTAAGTCATACTGTGTCCTAACTATGTTGACAAACGTGTGCGACCTTAGTAAAGACCTGAATGTGATTTGAGAGAAGTTTTTAGGATGTATTTGCAGAAAACATGTGGGTGCCTATTGAGTTCTACTGTTTGTTAGCAACGTTAGCCTTGCAGCTCCAGTGCTAAACTAAAAAAGCAAAATTTGGACACCAAACATGTCTTGGTTGATCTGCTGCATCTGGGAAGTGGTAAATTGTATACATTTGATTTGTCACCAAACTATAAAGTTTCTTTTTTATTGTGTGTGTGTGTGTGTGTGTGTGTGTGTGTGTGTGATTTTTAGAGCTGTGGTATATCAGTTGAGTTCTGCAGTCACATCGTGAGGGCATTCTCCATCAGTACTAAGAGCACCCGGGTGGAGCGGGCTGAGGAGGCTCTGGCACATATGGGCAGCTCTGTAAGTGATCGGTTTACTAGCTGACTGGAAACTTTTTTGAAAATCTCAAATGAATCGTCATGAAGCAGTTCACCTGATTTACCTGATGCTGTTTCCTTTCCATTCTTTCCCCATATATACTACTGTTTAAATGTTTCAAATCAAACATCATATCAACATTTTTTGTTACAGTAGAGGTTTAAATACTATAAACTAGACAGTAAAATGTCTATATAAAAGACATTTCAGGTATTTTGGGGAATAAGAAGTTATTAAATGATAAATATCTGTTTGCAGTTAAACTGCTTGTCTGCCTCAGTTAGATCACCACCTTTGAAATACGAGGCATTGTGGATGTTCACGTTACTTTAACTTCATTCTTTTTCTTATATAGCTTGTGAAATTCTGATGCTTGTCTGCTACACTCTTAGTAAAAAGGGCTCTATATAGTTCCAAGAAATGTTCTTTGACTTGTAACAAGTTTGTAACCCTTATTGGTGCTAAATCTTTTTTAAAAGGTTCTTTAAAGAACTCTATACAACAGGTTTTCCATCATAGAGAAGAACCATTCAACTATGAAAAAAAAACATACATCCTAATGGTTCTTCACAGATCTCTCTCTCCGTATGTGTACATATATATGTATATATATGTGTGTGTGTGTGTGTGTATATGTGTATATATATATATATATATGGTTCTATACAGAACCACGAACACTCAAAGAACCTTTTGCATGATTAAAGGGTTCTTTGCATGCTGAAGTGATTCTTCGGATTGATAGAGGACGTGCTGTAGATGCTTCTATGTAGCACCCAAAGGGGTTCATTTATTGTTACAAGCTTGACTTTAACTATAGAAGAACCCTTCTGGGTGCTGTATAGAACCCTTTTCAGCAAGGTTCTGTATAAAACCATTTACAGCACATTCTCTATCAATTTGAAGAATGCTTTCATGATGCAAACTCTTTAATCTTGCAAAGGGTTCTTTGAGTGTTCGTGGTTCTATATATAACCGTTTTATTACTAACGGACCCTTGAAGAACCATCTGAGTGAAGTGTATAAGGAGACTTTATATATAATCATCTTACTTTAACTTATTATATACTTTAAGGGTATTTGAGACCTTCTGATGGACGTTCTTTTGTCGGCCTCTGCTTTTAGGTGTTCAGCGGCATCACGCTAACAAAGTTTGGTGGGATTCTGATCCTGGCACTCTCCAAGTCCCAGATCTTCCAAGTCTTCTACTTCCGCATGTATTTGGCCATCGTGCTGCTGGGAGCAAGTCATGGCCTCATCTTTTTACCTGTGCTCCTCAGCTATGCAGGTACAGCACCTAGAGACTGTTTAATCACTATGATGTGCAAAACCAACCCCCAAAGCACAGGGGTGGAGTAGTGTCGGGTACTTAAATAGATCTGTGTCTTTGCATTATGTTAATAATATTATAGTTCAGTCTTCCCTAGTGGATGCTTTTCATACACTTATAAATTTTTCTACATTTTATAAATTACACTTGTAGATGTGATGCCTGCAGCATGTTCCAAAAAATGTTGAGACAGTGAGATGTTTACCATCCCCTTTTGCATAGCTGAGTCTAAACCTGCATTTGTAGATGCAGCGACGAACTGTGTTTACTGACATGAGTTTTCTGAAGTATTCCTGAGCCCTGTGGTTATATTCATTACAGAAGCATGTTAGCTTTTAACACAGTGTCCTCTGAGGAATGGGTGGTGATGAGCATTCAGTGTTGGTCTTCTGCCTTGTCCTTTACGCGCAGAGATTCCTCCAGATTCTCTGAATCTTTTAATAATGTTATGGACTGTAGATGGGGAAATACCTAAATTTCTTGAAGTCATGCATTGACAATGTTCTTAAACTGTTTGAATGTTTTTCACAAAGTGGCAACTGAGCCTTTTGTCAGTGCTTCTTTTACGCCCAATCATCATAGCATCACTATGATTTACCGATTTACCTATATATCACTGGAAAATTGTGAACAGCTGTTTTTGATCATTCAACAAACTATCCAGTTTTACATTACCCCATCCCAACTTTTTTGAAATGTGTTGAAGGCATCACATTTGGAATTAGCACATATTTACAAAAATCAATAAAGTTGATGGGGTGAAATATTAGATATCTCTTCTTTGTGCTGTTTTCGATTAAATACCTGAAAAAAAAACAGTTTACAATTCACTGCTTTCTGTTTTATTTGGTTTTTGTCTACTGTCCCAACTTTTTTGGAATTGGCATTGCATTTAGCATATTCTCAATATCTTGTTGCTTTCTTTATGTTGTTAATATCACTGTGGACGGTACCATTTATTATTTGCCACTGAATATTTGTGTACAACCTCAGTTTCCCCCTTATCCCAAATGTAGTCGACTTGTAGGCCACCAACAAGCCTGAACTTTCTTGTAAGTTAGGCAAAGCTAATGTAGCTCATATAAAACAGACAAAATGTAGGCTTCACAATGACTGGAAACTCCAGTTTTTAGCTACTGACCTACTTATATCCTTGTTTATGCATAACCGCATGTCACTCAGTGTCAGAAACCAAATTTGAGTAAGTAAAGATTGTGTTCTCCAAACCATTCCTTCCAAACTACAGCATGTGACTTGAAGATGGTTCAAATAAAACAGCCTCGGAAAAATACGTTACCATAAGAAGATTTGTGACTGAACTGTATGTTTCACTGTGTTCTTTCCTTCACAGGCCCATCGGTTAATAAAGCTAAAGTGATGGCCGCCCGCAGCAGGTTCTCTGGTACGGAGCGTGAGCGTCTGCTTAATTATTAGCTGCTCTGGAGAAGCTGAAGCACCGAACCACAAGGGATTGCGCGGCTACGGTGACCTCACATGGCCACACACACTAACACGCACACACCTCGACTGAGAGACCCTAACTCAGGACCTCTGCTTGGAAGTGTAAAAAAAATATATAATAATAATAATAATAATAATATTGCGTAATCTTCCGCACTGGGAACGCTGTGTTCGTCCTGGCTTTTTTTTTTGTTTGTTTTTTTTTGTTTTTTGTTTTTTTGCAGGACGTGCGACGGAAGCTGCATTCACTTTTGAATACCAAACTCTCAGTATGCAAAACTATAAGCTTAAATACCATTTTATACATACAGCCATGTAGTAGACATATAATGCCAGTCAGAAATCTATTAATTTTTTTTTGGTACTAGAATAATAAGAAAATGCATCTGAAATGACTAAATTATTTATTTGTGTGAACACGTATATTTTGTTGGTGTAACTGCATTAAAAGGAAATGAATCGATTACTCTGTCAAAACAACATTTAACATCAATGCGGTTAATACACTTCTGAGAATTCCATGAAGTCTTACGTTGATGCTTTAAGTGACACTGTACATGAAGAGTGAACTCTACTCACAAGGTGTTAGCAGACTTATTTTGTTGGGGGAGATTGTTATTCACAAATGTTTTGGGGTTTTTCTTCTTAACTGCTGTTTACTCATGTACAGAAGTGTTTTGTAAAGGAAGCGGCACTGAAATACTAAGAAAGGAACAACTGGCGCTCCTTCAATGGGGTCCGTGTCCTAAACTGAGCAGGAGTTTTCTCCCCAAAAGTGGGTCATTTAGCCTGGACTTGAATCCATGCTTTCATGATTAGGCCTATTTTTAGCTCAGTTACTCTGCAGTGCTGAGTATATACCTCAGTGGAATGTAGTGGGAGAAATTTAGGGTTAATATTAATCTAAATGGGTTGAGTCTGAAGAACTGTAACCTGTTTACGAGGCGTCCAGAGTGCTAATCTAGAAGCCGGCTTATAAAAGCTGCAGGACAAAATGAATCAAGTTATATAAACATGCATGTTCTACACAACCAAGAACTCGTGGCCACCTGTGGTTGTGTCTACATACTTTTTTTTTATTATTATTATTAATCATGTATAATTTAGCATGGAATATCTTGGAGCACATTGTTGGTCCTAGCATTGAATCACAAAGTGTTCTGCGAGGAGAGGCGAGGTTTGAGGTGTTTTGAAAAAGTGGAAAAATATGACTGTTACTGGCACAACAAAGGGTGGGAGACGTTTTTTTTAAACCATTTTAATGTTTAAATTTGTAACATTTACTGAATTGTTCATGTCTGCATTCCGTGGTGGAGAATACGTTCTGATATTTGTATGATTTTTGTTTTGTTTTTTTGAATAAAAGAGTGCTACTAATTTGTAATTCATGCATTCAGTTGCCATTATTATTGCCAAATTAAAGTCATGGTTCGCAATCAGTTTTCTAGCTACATAAGCCTTCATACTTGCATGGGCCGATGACAAGGGTGATAATATTAAAAAAGTATATGATGTGCATTTTTGTGTCTATTCAATGTGTTTTTTTGGTTGATAGCTTTTGTAATGTTATAAATTCATTTTAAACAGGACTTTTTATCTCTTTTTCCACCCATAAAATGTCAGGTGGCGCAAACCACACATTGAAACATATATAAACTGATCTTTGTATTTGGACGTGCTTTGGGAAGCTGGAACACTGAAACACAAGAGACTGCTTGTGAATGATGGCCTCACATGGCCTCACATGGCCACATATACACTAACAGACACACATGCGCGCGCACACACACACACACACACCGACTGAGAGACCCTAACTCAGGACACTTTCTTGTAAGCGTAAAAAAAATGCATAATCTTTCTGCAAAAATAAGTTTATTTTTTCAATATTTGTGAAAGGACTACTGATCGTGGCATTGCACACTAAGGGTCATGTGGGTGTCAGAATAAAAGTCCTTTGTTGTTGGTTATGTGTGACATTTGAGGCAATCAGAATTTATAGACAAAAGGTTTGCTATTATTTGAACTGTTTTAGTTTTATTTATTTATTTTAATTTTTTTTTAACTTTAATTTTATAAGTGAATTAGCCTTTTTAATGGTATATTTGCATATTTGTTTGGATGATTGCACCACCTTACATTTTTACACTTTGGGAGGCATAAATGATTAGATTCAGTTTCATTTTGATGCACTGGAAATGTGTTCAAGTAGAGGTTTATTGTAGAATAATGTTGTGTCATGTATTTATTACATTATTTTAAAAGAAATATTGAACTTGGACAAAGAAAATGCAGATCATATCATTAATTCACATACTTTTGTCCATGTTTATGGATAAAAGTATGCTGAACAGTGTCAAACAAACTGCTTTAACAAGTCTATTTGTGATTACCTAGTAACTCAAACCAGCTTGAGGCAAGTGTAATAATTTAGGCATGCGGTTAGCACAATGCTAAATGGTGTGAATAAGCTTCACAAACTTGTTAATGGAACTATGGTTACTTTTTCCTCATAACTCCAGTGCAAAAGATTCCTTCAGATACATTGGGTTGTGTTGGCTGTAGGGGTAACTTGTAAGGGGTAAATTCTGTACATATTGTTTTCTAGCAGAACCATAACTTTAAGTTTGGCTGCCAGGGTCTTTTTTTTAAATTACACCGTTCCATTTAGTTCTTGACGTTCCAGAAAGTTAAAATAAGTGAACACATCCTCTACAGAAAACACACTTCTGCACATTTTAATACCCAGTCACTGCTTATTTGTTGAATTTAACACATTGGGGGAAACATCAAATATACTGTAATGTTTGCAGTTTTTTGTCAAATACGCTAAATTTAGCAAATCAACAGTAATTGTGCATTGAAGTGTGAGAGGTTTGTTCTCTTTAGATAATATTAACTTATTACACTTAGAAAATCAACAAAACATCTAGGTGAGCCCAAACTTTTGCATTTCACTGTAACTAAGTTTTCATCAACTTAAATGCATTTTGCAGGCATTATGATCAAGATGTGCTAAAAATGTTTGAAAAATTTCCCTCCTGCAGTCTGTTTCTATCAAACTGACTTGCAGCACTAAAATAATTTCAGTAATGATGCCATTTCTTGCAGAAACTGCTGTTGCAGGTTTGCTTTATTGTATAAAAGTCAGCATTGGACACACACGCTCTCTTTCTGAAACCACCTATCCTTCTTAAAATGATTTTTTTTGTTATGATAACCATAAACAATTGCTGTCTTTAAAAAAAAAAATTACAAGTCAGAGTACTTGGTGTTGTAAAGAAATGTGAGAGGTTCAGTGGGCAGTGTGTCTTCTTTCAGCTAATCAGCACAAAACAGGATTCCATTTGAGGAGTTTTATGTGAAAATATTTCATTGTAATTTTACTTATTTTGCTTAGTTTTGTAATTGCAGTAGCTTTATTTGTTTAATTGCACAACTTTCACAAACCAAAATGTGGGCATGCAGCACTAAGTCTGATTTCTGTTGAGCCACAAGGTGGCGTTAGATAGCCTTGTATAGCCGCAATGTTGCACTGAGAAATGCACTGATTCAGCTTTCTGTGGTCTTCATTGACCCATTTTTTTGGTAAAGCGTACACGTTCATTCTTGAATTTAGCAGCGTTTATTTAACCTCCTGATCATCATACACCAGCCTGAGAAAGCAGAAAGTTCCTGATCTGTGTGGTCATTTCAGCCTGCACCCATAAACCCACAGACTATGGGCTACTGAACAAGGCTGTATTTATCCTTCAGTGATTTGCTGTGCAAATCTTATCCCCACTCTGACCTGAAGGGTCCGTCTGAGGCCCAGTGGCAGGAGATGACCCGAGCTGACTGGCCTCTCTGAGCTGTTGTCATACAAGCTGGCAATTCATCTTTTATTGATATGTTTCTATCTCCCCCTCCCCGCATGGTGGAGACGGAATGAAATATTGATTTCCCCTGGTCTCCACTCACCAGGCAGCCGGGGAAGATGCAGCTGCCTTTATTATGTAAGCTTTTCCTCTTCGCTTTGCCCCCCTCTGAATCCCTTCCTAGATTTTCCTTGCTCTCCATCAGAGGATCACCAAATTTACATTTCAGAACATTACCTAAAACCAGCTCCTGTTCAAGCTGATCACTAGGTAGACTCACAGAAACCTTATATATGTAATCTAGGGGTTTTAATGATATATTGCATCAAACCCAGGGATAATTATACTGTTTAGAATATCATCCCGATAATCATAAGCAATTAGGTCTATTCAAAAAGTCACAGTAAAAATAAATAGCCAGCCATGCCACAGGACATGTTGACATATTATTTGGTGTTGTAAATAAATGAGAGGTTCAGCTGAAGGTCTGTTGATATTAAGATTTTAGATGAAGTGACCCTTATTAGAAATTTCACCTCCGCATTTATCTATCCATGCAGTGAAACACCAAATACACACTAGTGAAAGCACACACACTAGGGGGCAGTGAGCACACTTGCCCGGAGCAGTGGGCAGCCCTATCCACAGCACCCGGGGAGCAGTTGTGAGTTAGGTGCCTTGCTCAAGGGCACCTCGGTCATATACTGTCAGTTCAGGGGATCAAACCAGCGACCTTCCGGTCGCACGGCTGGTTCCCTAACCTCCAGCCCTCCTGCCCATGACTGCCCACGACTGGTATAAGTCCTGTGGGGAAATGATTTCATTTGCCGTGTCTGAAATGGTCCCCTATATTTGAAAATCCGGATCTCTATATAGAAAACTACAGTAGGGAGCAAAATCGGTGATGGTGAAGGATTTCAGACAGTAATGTTATACGGGTTTGCTCATTACTTATAAATAACGCAGAGCATTATGGGTATCCACTATTCACTAGGGTACATCAGTTGTACACTATTTATTGTAGTGCATTGTGGGATTGTTAGAGTGCACTGCATCTTCTGCACTGTTTTCAGGCACCACTACAAAACGCCCAAACCCCGAAATAGTGCACTATGTAGTGAATAGGGAACCGTTTTGGACACAGCCAATGTGTTTTTAGTGGGACATTCTGACCAAAATCAGCTAATCTTACTACGTAACTACGTAATTTCATTGTACAGTGGTGAGATTTTTCAGTTGAAAGACCAATAAAATCACCTTCTGATGAATCTTGAAGGTGCAATAAAGTTCAACTGTTTTAGCTTGGATTTCTTAAAATGTTTTTCTTTGTTTTTTGTTAGCTGGTGAATTCAGGACACCAGATTAGGAAGCCAAATACCTTCAAATCATCTCTACAATGAAGAGAATGGATTACTCAAATAACACTAATGACTCATCAGATGAGAAGAACAAGCTGAAAGCTGAAGTTAGCAAAGTAGCTGGTTATCTCGATAACGTTACTTCAGGTTAGCTTCTTTTTCTCTGGCTGGAAAAGGAAAAACCTGTCTCTGCTGTTCCTTTTAGGCAGAATAAAGATAGAAATAGCCGTTTTCTTTGAGTAGGAGTTACATTATTGATAGCCTGGTTGCATTTATCAGCCTAGGTCAGTGGCTAGGCTACGCTAACACTCTTAAAGCTCAAATCAAGTCACGTTTATTGTCACATCACATTTACACAGGTGCGAAGGTGAGTGAAAAGCTTAGGTGCGTAGCCTCCTCGTAGAATTTAAATACAAAAATATATATATAAGAAAAAAGAAATATATATACACCGACAAGATGGTGCTCCAAGGGTTCTTTAGTAATGGAAATGGTTCTATATAGAACCATGAACACCCAAACAACCTTTTGCATGATTAAAGAGTTCTTTGCATCATGAAAGCGTTCTTCAGATTGATGGAGAATGTGCTGTAGATGATTCTATATAGCACCCAAAAGTGTTGTTCTATTGTTATGATATCAAGCATGTAACAATAGAGGAACCCTTTTGGGTAAAGAACCCTTTAATCATGCAAAGAAAAAAAACATCCATCAATCTAAAGAACCGTTTTCTTTACTACAGAACTGTTGAAGCCCCGTCTTTTTTTTAAGAATGCAGGCCAGAGTTGGTTGACCCCCCATTGGCCATATGTGAATTATTTCCCAGTATATTATATAATATATTATATAACACTGTGATAGTATTAAATCTGTTATTTTGGTCACTGATATTTTGGTCACTGATATGTATGTAGCACCTAAATGAAGACGATGCGTAGGTGTAGGGCAGATAAGCTCTGAGTTTGGGAGTTGCAGGATGTCAGGTGCGAGGCTGTGAGAAACAGCGGGAGTATGTTTCCATGCAGAGTGGGAGGATGTTTCTCATCTTCCTCCCACCATCATGACCTCACCTAGTCTTCAGTCTAACAGTTTCACCTTCATGACTTCTTCACTCTTCACTCATGAGATCTCCAAACGACGGCAGAAATAGAAACCCAAATGCAAATGAA